AGATAACGGAGCGCCAGGTGCAGTCCGGTGCTGCCCTCTGACTGACTGTAGACGCTCGATTTGACTGGAGGGAACCTCTGAAGCTCGGCCAGTATAACTTTCTCTTCAACCCTCGGTGTCTCACATCAGCTGAAGTGTCCTTACGGCGCACCAAGAGACATTTAAACATGACCAGCATCTCAGACGCGTCTTCTTTCCTGGATAGCGTCCTGTGAATTAAATGGGTGCTAAAGGGAGACCTGAGAAGCTGGATAATGCCAAGGATACTTGGCGTTAGCGACCGCACACTGCAGCACATGTTCAGTCATTTCCTTTTGTGAACAAACCAGATAATGAAACGTCAATAGCAAATGATCAGAGTAACAGATTCAGAGAAACTGTAGTGCTTGAATGCTGGTGTCCATCATTCACTCTTTATCGGCCATTTCTTCCCTCATCTAACATTTTTAACCATCAGGGAAAACATACATTAGTTTATATAATTATCTACATATTTATAAATATGTTCTTCCTGTATTGTCAGGTCTTTCTGTATGCTACAGTATGTTTGTTGTTTTCAGGGACCAAGCTGCCTCCCTTTATGCTACAAAAGCCTGGGATTAATTATTTATTCAGATATTTAACTCAAAGTCATTGTAAAAAGTGAGAAGGGTTTTCAATACGAGTAAAAAAGTCATCTGGTCCTCAAACACTTAGTTTAGACAATTTTTTTTTCTCCAAATAATTTTAAAGACATTTGTGGGCGTCTGGTGGATTTAGTACGATAAAAGTATGCTAAATAAAACTAAGAAATCATTTATAATTAACAAGTATAAAAAAAATTGAATTTCGCCATGGTTGAATTAAATTATATTTTTATTTCATACGAAGAACCAGATGATTTTTTTAAAATTTGAACCTGAATGACCAAACATTAAGTTATTTGTACAATTACAACGTTCATAGTTAAAATATCTAAGGTGAATGTAAAAGATAAAAGGATTAATATATATGATATATTGGTCACACTTCTCCCTCTGTTCTTTTTTTTATAATATGTAAGAAATTTTTTTTTTTGTTAAATATTTAAGGAAACCATTTTCCCCAAGAGTACAAAGTTGATGTTATCGTATGTTTGCCAAAAAACCAACAACTTTAATTTGAAAGAACATTAATTATTATTATTATATAAGCTGCAGTGGTTTTTCTGTTTGAAACCGTGTCACCGCTTTCCGTTACTTTTTGTGTCTTATTGTAAGCATCACAACACAACCGTTGACAAAAACTGGATGGTAGTGATTGGAGAACATGAAGCTATGGAGCAACATTTTTGTTCTTTTGTCTTCAAATGTTCAGTCTGTGATTTTTCAGAAATTCTAGACTGTGATGCTGCTGTTCATTCTTAGTTTTTAAAGTGCCAAACTAAGCTTCAGGCATGCATCACTTGTGACAAGTTAGAGGAGATTATGCTGAGATCAAATGTGCTTCTTCAGGTATTTCATTAGAGTTTTAATAATAATAATAATAATAATATGCAATAAATCACTTAAACTGTTAGCAAACACAACCGAAGTAAAAATTCACTACATGTTCCCGTTCTTTGCATGTTCCCGTTAAAGAAACTTATTTCATGAATCTGCAGCAGCGTTTTTACTCTGATGGATAAATTCTTTACCCATGTTTCTGCTTCCATCTTTTTACCTGAGGTCAATTCAGTTTTATTTTAAAAATTTGTATTTCTGTTTCTAGCTGTGCATTTTTTTTTCTGTTTCGAATGTTTCAATTGTTCTAGACATCTTGAAAAGATACACTAGCTTGTTTTGATTTCCCCAACTTTGTGCAGTCTGTTACCGAAAAAATAACTTGGAAACAAATGTGTGTTGGGAAAACTGGCAGCTAAAGTGAACTGCTGTGATATTTATGGGGCGATACATACATCCCACAGAGTATTTGTAACTTAACGTTGTTGTATGATTATTATTATTATTTAATTTAAAAGATGGACTAAAGTGCATTCAGAGAAATTAATAGAAATCAGAAGTAACAGATTTAGGCTGGTAACCTTTCAAAATAAAAACTGCAAGAGGAGAAGAAGAGCAGAAGAGAAAAATACTAAATTATTAACAGCTGTACCATAACCCATGGTAACTCTGAATGTGGACTACTGATTTGCATCATTAAATCCAAATCCTTCCCCCGACCAAATATCAGACTGAACTTGTACTGTATGTTTTTATTCCACAGTGCCTCCTATGTTCACCTGCGTGCCTCAGCTAACAAATGTTTGGCACCACTTTTATTTTCAAATTTATTTGTTTTAAAAACAAACAAAAAAAATCATCTGAGTACATGAGAAAAAATGAAAGATATATTTGAAAACCTACATAAGCTTTATAAGTTGAGTCTTTGATAATGTTTTAAAAAGTTAGCATTTGGATTATATCGTGTTACATGTAGATCTTCACGTTTTAAAGACTTTCCGACGTCGTGCTAATTTTGCCACACTTCTGGTCTGTAGACAGAAAGCTACTGACGTGGTATTTTGTGTTTCTGAACTTATAAAACTGTACAGTAGGGTCCACCATTGAAAACATGTGTAAAGGTGGTTTTCTCCCATCTGTATTTTAATGTTTTAATATAGTTTTCTTTTTTTTGCCAAACCAAAAGAGTTGAGCATTCTTGAAAAGCTGTTTCTTAAAAAATAAATATATCCACAATTTTATTGTGTGTGTGTGTTTTTTTTTTTGTTTTTTTTTTGTTTTTTAGTAAACAACACCAGAAACAAATTAAATCTGGGGTGGATGTTAAGTTTGTTTAATACTTTCTTATACCTTATTCATTTTATGTGGGATTTCCTGAGGCCCGTTTTTTTAAATTAAAAGTATCTTTTTAAAGAAGATTTTTATGCAGATATTATGCTTTTTATTAAGCCCAAATTTCTGTATTAAAATTATTTTTGTTGGTCTGAATTGAATTAAACTTATGATCATATGACATATTTTCATCAGCCAAAGTTGTGGGAAATCATCACAGGCTTGAAAACATCTATAGTGTGGTGCATAAAGTAAATTGAGTGACTGAGGTACCTTAACTTTGAAATATTTGCTTGTATTGAATGACTCTGTGCCCATCACTTATCTATATTTGCCTAAATTATGTCCAAATCTGACTGAGTGAATTTGTTTATCTCTGAGTGCAGTGTTTTATTTCAGTGATAGCACTTGAGATTGAATGGGAGGAAAAAAATAATCATTTCTGCTTATAGGAAAACATACATTGACATGTATAAAAGAGGCTAATTCACATAATATACCTTCATGAAAACATACCAGACTGTACATCTGAAAAATTTAAACATAGGGTTGTTGAGGATTATATGAAAGTCGTTTAACTTCTAACTGTTCAAACTTCTGTGTGGTTGCTAGGCTTCCTTGAGGTTGCCCTGGTAACAGTGGGGCTGCTGGAATCTTCCTGGCCACGCGGGGGAGCTGTCCGGTATGCGTAGAGCTCACCGCCGGTGGAAGAGCTACTCCGTTGCTACGTCACCACATTTCACCGAATGCTTTAAAACAGCTTGGAAAAGCCTAGAAGTTCATCCTGAGAAGCTTCCAGAAACAGGTAAGTTAAACGAAAAAGGGCTTCAACTTCGCTTAGGGTTAGGTTAGGTCAGGTTGCAGAACAGAATAATAAAGATGAGACGGGGGTAGAGAGTTTTACCAGTGAACCTGTTGCGGTTTCTGAATGTATTGATGTGTCGGCTGGCGATAAAGTGGCATCTCTATGTTTAGAGATAAGATGAGGGATGCTGCTCTCCTGCTCACGTCCTGTGTAGTTGTGTTTCTTCTCTTGAGCTTCAGCTGCGCTGCCAGACAAGGACAGGACATCAGATGTGGAGGTATCCATTTGTCCTCTTGATCAGTTTTCACAACAAATTCAGAAAACTCCTCATGTTCCTGTGTTCTGCTGCCTGCTCAGCCTGCAGGGCTATGGTTGATGAGATGGAGTGGGCCATATCCCAGGTAGATCCAAAGAAAATGATCCAGACTGGATCCTTCAGGATCAATCCGGATGGGAGTCAGTCCATCAGAGAGGTAACAGGGTCATTTCAGAGCACTACTGTTGTGATCAGGCGGTGCAACTAAATTATTGCCTTGAAGGATTAAATTAATCAAAAAGTATGTTTGTTTTCTTATCCTATCTAATATTATGTCTCACCAGACCTCTTTTGGGGCTTAGCCGGTCCCTTTGTGGTTAGTTTGTGATTCTTTTTTTTTTTTGGTTTTGTAATCTTTGGTGCAAAAACAGATTCCCCTGGCACGCTCAGAGGGAAACCTCCTGGATCTGATGGAGAGTGTGTGTGAGAGGATGGAGGACTACGGAGAGCGCACGGATCCATCCACAAACAGGAAGTCCTACGTCAGGGTCAAGTCTCGGACCGGTGAGGCCATGGACCTCTCAGAGGCTGCGTTGGATTCAAGAGTGACATCCAGCTTAAAATTCGCAGTGAGTAGTTTTCTCTTTAGCCCTCTTGCAAAGTTGAAGAACTTCTACACAAGCTTTTAAACTAATCATGATGTTTATTTACTTTAATTGAATTCCTCTTTCATTAATAAGAAGACAAATCATGTTAAGACATTCGCTAAAGGTTGTGCTCTTATTTTATTACTTTTTTTTCTGAAGTGTGAAACAATTGTCGAACATCATGAAGATGAAATTATCGAATTCTTCGCTCATGAAACGGACAATGTGAAAGACAAACTCTGCAGTAAAAGGACAGGTATGGTCACTATTTGCTTTGCCCCTCTTTGTGAATGTGAGCCACAGTATGTTTGTGTAATTTCAATGTTTTTTTTTTGTTTTTTTTGTTGTGTGCCTTGCAGATCTGTGTGACCACGCCTTAAACATTCCCCATGATGAGCTTTGATATTCTTTCGTCAGAGCTGCGATCTCTGACACAAACCAAATCTTCTGGTGCTGTAAAGTCTCATGACATTGCCTCAAGATGTAAACAAATCTTTTTATATAGGATCACAGAGAATTTAGGAGCACTTACCGTCTAATTATGCTGTGTTGTTCTTGGTTACCGATCCAGTTACTGTATGTTATATATTTGTGTCTTTCATTTCCATCAAACACTCATTAAACTCAAACTGTGAACAATAGGAATTAATGTTTAGTGTCATGTTGGAAATTTAAACGGACACTTAAAGTTCATTTATCTGTCCAGATTTATAGCATTAATTTGAGGCTTTCCTGATTTGTTTTTCTTTAATTAGTCTATTAAGTCAATCTAAAAATTGACATAAAGATTTAAAAATTTACAAATTTGATTTAAGTGAAGTTAGGTTTTCCATTGCAAGTATTTCTTGAGAAATCCTTATGTTTTGAAAAGTACCTCCCCAACAACTGCACAGTCTGATTGTAACAACTACCACAATTCAATTACATGGTGCACAGACTGCATTTACCCTGTTTTACAGAAGGATTTACGAATCCACCAACATATACCTACATTTTATGCTCATGTTTGGCAAATTTCTATTAATTTTGATGTGGTAGTTTTTGTATAACCTGGATTACAAATGGCTAGCATTAGAAGAAAACCATGTCAGTAAGCCAGACAGTTTCTTCAATCCCAAGAGGCAAAGTATCTCCATGTTTCAGTTTCAGCTTTTTCACTATAAAAACTAATAAACACATTATTTAAAAAAGAAAAAAACAACATTTTCATCAAGACTGTTGAGTCCGTTTACATCTGAGTGTGAACATTTGTGTTAAGATTTCTGGCTCCGAGTTACCTTATGGAATATTAATTCACCTACATTTTTGCTTAAATAAAGCAAAAAGGTGTTAAGTAGTTTGGGTAATTGTAGCCACAAAAAAATCTAGAAAGTGGCTTTTTACTTTTTTATTTCCGTTTACATACATTACATATTGTCTTGTCATTTTTTGATTAGGACATAAAAACATGTAATATTTATAGGATTAATTTAAGTATGGTTATGTGAATATCTAAGTTTAGTTTCTCTGTCAGCATAATTACACCAAACCCTCGTTACATCAATAGAGTGATCTGTGTTATGACGCTATGCTGATGCTGAATTAACAAAAATTATGTTCTGGCTTTTATTTAAAAAACAAAAAACAGTTTAACAAGTGACTTGAAATTTCCACATTTGTATGAATTTCAGGATCTGTTTTCTCTTCAAATATATTTCTGACCAACATGAGTTCAGTCTTTATTTCTAGACTCAATACATAAATAATCTGAATTGTGTCATAAACATCTCATTGTCCACACTGAAATCTAAGCAAATGTTCTATTTTCTGTTTTTATCACTCAGCAATCAACTATAAAACCTCTGAAATGATTAATAGTATGGATAAAATAAAGAAATTGTACAGTGACTTGCAAAAATATTCTCACTCCTTGAATTATTTACGGCTTAAATGTTATGCATAACTGTGTGTGTAAAATATGGAAATTGGAAGGAAATTGATGCTTGGTATTGCAGTTTGTTTTTTGAATGTTGACCAAAAAGTTAAATTATGTTCTCATCTGACCAGCGCACCTTCTTCGTCGTGTTTGCTGTGCTCTGCAAACACCGCGACTTTTTTTGACTTTTTTTAAAAAAAAAAAAAAAAAAAAAGGATGGCTCCTTGCCATTCTTCCAAAAAAGATAGGATTTACAGTATGCAAATCCTATCTTTTCACTTCATACCATAAATCCTATCTTTTTTGGATAGGACCTTTCCTGAAGCTCAGGATGTTGTTTTATGACCTATTCCTACTTTAAATCTCTCCACAACTTACTCCCGGATCTGTCTGAAGTGTTCATTGGCCGTCATGATGCTCATTGTTCATTAATGGTCTTTAAGAAACCTCTGAACAACTGGATCCTACTGAGATTAAATTACACGCTTGTTCACTAATAAAGTGACTTCTGGTGGCAATTTTATGGATTTTATTTAGGGATATCAGAGTATGTGTGGGTACATAAAACGTATTTGTCATGCACTTGACATGCAGACACATGCCAAATTTGTTTTTATTTGTAAAACAACTTAAAATCATATGTCTTTATCCTCCCATTTCTCAGTTTTGCTTAGCTTTGGGGTTTAGTAGATAGTCCCAATAAAACACACTGAGGTTGTTGGTTGTAATGTTGCCAAATATGAAAAAGTTTAAGGGGTCAGAATACGCTTGCAAGGCACTGTTTGTTAAATATCTTGTTAGTCTAACTCAACACATCACTGACCTCTTGATCTACCTCCACCGGACTCTCTTCATTAGAACCACAAATGTTTACGTTGTCCTCTTCTTCTTCACTTTCTTCCAATTGGATTTCATCTTTTTCTTCACTGGAGCATCTTGGCCCCTGTTCGACAGTATCATACTCCTCTTTCACCTCACCAGGGAGTGTTGTTTCTTCAATCCCTAAAGTAACAGTGTCTTCAGACACGTGGCTGCTGCAGGACATAGTGTCTTCTTCAGCATGTCCCTCTGGGTCTTTGTCATCCTGGTCTGCCTGACCCGTCTCAGTGCTGTGCTTTAAAACTGCCTGCAGCTCATCAGAGAAGTTCTTCTTGGACTTTGTGTCTGCCACCACATCTAGACAACTCGGATCCCACTGTTCACTAACTTCCTCCTCTTCGCTCTCGGAGTCAGGTGCTGTGTGCTTCCTGATGCGACTTACCACATCCAACAGGGACTTAGGATACTGAGATGCTCTCTTTTGTGCAGAAGATGGAGAGAACTTTGGAGAAACGTCTTCCTCTTGGGAAAGAAAAGTTTTCAACTGGCTGGATTCTTCGCAGGAATCCAGATAAAAAGAATTAGAGGGATGTCCCACAATGTCTGGAGTAGCAGTGATGTCAAAGCTTAGAGGACACCCAGTTATTTCAGTTTTAGAGAGAGGAGTATGGTCTCTGTCAGGCTCTTGTGGAGAAGATGAAATATCAGAGGTTAGGAGCTTGTTTAAGACCTCACCAGATGAAGGATAGGTATCGTCAGGCCATTCATCTTGTGAGATTTGCAAGTTGTTTAGTTGAGTTTGAGTGAATTCATCTCTCTCATTGCTTGTTTCTTTCAAGGCACTTACAGTCAGATCTGGATTTAGAGTCCCATCTTTTTCTGTCTTGCACAAAACATTGTCCTCGAAATTATACTTTGGTAGGAAGCCATAATCTTCTGATTTACAAGTTCTTGGATTTTCTTCATTGTCTTCACCTGTTCGAACTGTAGGATCAGAGAAATTACTGTCGTCTAGTTGGAGATCCTGGTCCTTGTTTGCATAAGTGGCACCTTCAGTTTGGGCTGAAATGTTGAGATCTTCATATTTTGCTTCAGCTCTAGATGAATCATTCTCAGCTGTTTGCTCCTTCTCAGTGACACAAAAAGTGTTGTCACATTGGTGATTGTGTAGATGTGGCAAGACTTCTTTCATTTCTGTGACCAAGGACCTGTTTTCAGCAGAGTCTGACATCTCATCCCCACCTTGCTTAGGCTCGGCACCACTCTCCACATCCGCTTCTAGCAATACTTCCAGAGGAGGAGGGCTTGGGAGTTGCTCTTCACTGAGAGTGGAGCTTAAAGGAGAATTGGGTGATTCAGGGAAAAGAGGAGGTGAGGCATCAGAGTGAGGACTTGGGTCTGCACTTTGTGCATCCAGTTCAGAATCAGCACCTTCCTGTATGCTTGAATCTGAAGAAACTGAATAAGTATTACTGAGATCAACGAGGTGCTCTTCATTTTCACTTTCGGCACATGTGAATTCACCCCCTCTTTCTTTGTTCATTTCATTTTTGGTTGAAGTATTGTATGTTTCAAGTTGGGACTCAGTGTTATCGTCTTCAGCCATGGTGTTGGCTGGCTGTTGAGATGCTGTAAAATCTTTATCATCTTCACTTGTTAGCAGCTTTCTACTGTCATCTTTGTCCACTAGGAGAACCTCTGCTGTATCCTCTAGAGTTTGCCCTGAATCAGGTGGTTCAGCCTCCTCACTCTGCTCCTCCTTGCACAGATCAATCGGTGGTTCTTCATCTTCGGTTTGCTGTTCATCATCATGCAGAGGTACTCCAAGGATTCTTTCAGCACGCTCCTCCAGAGTTTCCCTTTCAGAAACCAAAGGTGACTGCACACCAGAGGGGGAATTGCCACTCTCTTTGTCTTCCTGTTTCTTCAAAAGTATTGGATCCAGGTCAGCTTCAGGGTCTTCATACCTTTGCAAGGCCTCACTGCTCGGACCAGTTGCTACATTTTGATAAACCTGAGAGTTGGATTCAGATGTTCTGCCTTCATCATGTGCTGTGGAATCTAAATAGTGAACTTGCTCCTTCTTTGGTGAAGGAATCATCTCCACTTTGACAACAACACAGCTGGTGTCTATCACCAGTAGCCCTTTCATATCCTCAGTGTTCTCAGCGATGTCTAGTTTCTTATTTTCAAAGACCGTTGATTGACTTCTTACATCCTCACCTTCATCCTGGTTCAAGATGCTTCCTTTTGTCTCTTTCAAGCTGTTTGTGTTGAAGGTCTCAGCTTCTGCCTTGGTACTAGAACTAGGCTCCCTCCATAAAGGGTATCTGGTCAACACAGGCTCCACAGACTGAGATACAAATCCAGATTTTTCCAGGAAAACGTTGTTTGGTAGGTCATCTTTAAGCATAACCTTTTCCTTGCATTCGGGGGTCTTTTTATCTGACTGCTCTGTTAGTGTGTGTGCTCTGAAGTCCACATCATCAGCGATCTTGTTCACTTGGTTGTCAACCTGTCTGTCTTTTGAAAGCTCTTCCATTTCTGTGATTTGGACGCTTGTTTGGGAGGTACAGACTGGTAAAGAAGTGGTTTCAGAGGGGCTAGCTATTCTAGACACAAGGCAGAATATTGTCATCCCTCCTGTCTTTTTCTTTAGTCTGAACTTCCTTCCTTCTATGACCTTACAGATTTCTTCCTTCTCCATGTCTGACTTCTGAACTGCTTGTGGTTCTTCATCCAGTATGCCTTCAGGTTTCTGCGCATCAATAGAACCGACTCCCTGTAAAGCATCCCTCTCATGTTTGCTGAACTCTAGTTCCTCCAGTCCAGGGCAGATTTTACTTGCATCTTTCTCGACTTTCCTCTTGGTTTCCAAATCTAAAAGGACATCTGACTTTCTGAGAGTTGGCTGTGACCAGTCGGCTTGCTTCTTCCCAACCAGCCGCCTGCCAAAATCACAATGGTGCATCACGGGTGGACTTTTGTGTGGCCTGTTGTAGGGAGGAGGTCCAATGTATCCAGGAGGTTTGTCCAGTACCCTTAATTGGTATTCAGTATTTTCCTCCATGTGGGCTGTGGGACAAAGACGTCCTGCTTTGTCCCACAGCCCATGCGCTCTGCTACTTCGATTTAGCTGGTTGCACTGTAGCTGAACTTCAGGATGTGTCAAAAGTTTTTCTCTCTCCGACTGGCCTTGGACGGCCTCTCGTAACTCTGCTTCTAGGCGTCTCCTCCTTGGCAGCGAGTGACTGTACCGGGCTGCCCAGGCCTCCAGCTCGCGATAGCTGCTGTCGGTCCTCTTAGCAGAAACATCTCTGTTGTAACGGGAAGGCTGAGTCTGGTCCCACCGCTTTGGCCATGCGTCTCTCAGAAATCCTCTGTTGTAGTCCCTTGCAACTCCGTGAGGCGCCCATTCTCTATCTCTGGGGTTGTGTTGCCGATACTCCCCCAGGTCCTGGTGGCGCTGTTCATGACGGTGTAAAATGAAGGGAAAGTTTGGGGAAGAGTAGTCAGGCGGCTCGGGGTCAGTCCAGTTGGTATATCCCTGTAGAGCTCCTCCTGCTCTCGACCCTGGTACCATCCAGTCACTGCACTCCCTTCCCTGATCCTGCTGCTCTCCATAGCACAGTGTGTTATAGGTAGCCTGCCGTCTCTCATGATAGCTGTGAGTAAAATGGTGGAAGAATTCAAATTAAATTCAACTTGGACAACAAAGAGTTGGAATGTGTTAAATGCATTTTACCTCAAGATTCACCCGGCTGCAAATCATTTATCATTTATCTTTGCTATGCAAAAGAATTCATGCATAATAATTCATATTATATTATTTGTGACTCTTCTCATCTTTTAGTTTAAATGTTAATGTATGAGTTAAATACAACATCCTATTTGCCTCATATTGGTCAGATTGAAATGTTTGGAAATGGATTTTACACAACTGTATTCAGTTTTTCAAAACTGTTCAGTTTAAGTGATTGGATTTTTGGAGCATGTTTGGCAATTAAGTAACAACTATTTTAAGACAATTGTTCTGCTATAGTTTAAAAATAGCACTGATTTTAAGCATCATCTAACTAAAAGTTTTTATTTTCTTTTTTATTTAACTCACTTGTTTGCACAATTTCTTGAAGGAAGAGTCCCAAATCTGGAGTACATCTGCGACTGACCCTGATTGTCCAGCCAAAACTCCATCAGTTGCTGCCAAGCACAGATCTGAAGCATTACAAAAGAAAACATATATTTTAAAGTTCATTTGCTCCAAATGACACAATTTAAAGTAAACAAATACAGTCTGAGAAGTTTAAAGTAAAACATTTTAGATATTGCATCCCAAACGAGCTTTAACACTTACCTTCAGCTGCTGTTTTCAAAAACCTTAACCGGACTGTTCCTGAGGTGAAGCAACGAATAATGAAGTCCAAACAGGACAAAGAGTTTTAGGGGATGGTGGCTCTCTGTCCTCCTCCCACTCTTTAAACACACACACACAGACACACACACACGCAAACAGCCATACAATTAAGGGCCCATCCTCTCCTCATGTGGCAATTTTTAAATGGTAACATTTTAAGCCTTTTTAAAAATTAACCGTTTCCTCAATTATTTACGCTTAAATTTGCCAAAATCTTTATCTTAAATTAACATTTCAAATATACTCTTAATTGTCTCAATAATTATTTGTCTCCCATGTTTCTGAAACTTTATGATAAAAATTGTATTTAAAGAGGCATTCATTTATTTTTTTATTTGTATTGATCATACACAAAAAAGGTTGTTAAATTAGTAAAATCCTATTGACCTATTGGCATATCCCTTGTGTGCAGTTTTTTCTTTTTTAGTTATCCTATCATCAATAGTTGCTACAGTAATGACGTATTGTAAGAATGAAGCATCAACAAAAACAAGCCATTAGTGTTTTTTGGGATGGTCGCGTGGGAGGTGCTGGGCCGGCGAGCAGATAGAGATCTGTTGTTTTGTTATGTGAATTGTAGCTTAGGGAGTGACCGGCTGCAGTCGGGTCGTCTCTCTTTCTTTGAAACTCTCCAGCGTAACAAACAGGCTTTCCTTTCCTGAACAGAAAAGCTGCACATCAGCAGAGTGCAGAGCAGAGGGGATGAAGGGCCGACAGGCGGCTGCAGGGGAGGGACATCTGTTGATGTCTGACAGCACAGTTTGGGAGGAGAGCAATTTTGTGTTGAGATTTTCTAATAACTTATCAAAAGTAATGCTGCTAAGAATGTCAGTGTCTGTGTTAAAAATGTGTTATTGCACGCATGCATTAATTAGGCAGTTGTTACAAAATGCAAAACAAACTCATGATGAGAACTGAAAAGCTTCTGGATCTGTAAAATTACTTTATATATACCAAGAGATAAAGATTAAAGTTACTTTTTATTAAAAAGAACATTTGCAGCAAAGTTTGGTTGAAAATTGTAGAGAAATTAAACATTAAGACTTAAGTTAAAAATCGACAGGTTCCATAAGTTTCAGGTTTAATAATACTTGCAAGCACATGAAAACAATGTTTTCTGTAACAAATCCTCTCTTTAAAGGACAAACTCGGATACGAATAAATTTTTTTGTTGCTTTTACTCTGTTGTAAACAAAAACTGTTTTCTGTCCAGTCTCTTATTAAGCTCTTCCTCCTGTTACTCCTCTGCTCTCTTGGACGCACGGTAAATATTATTATTTTGCTTGTCATCGCGAAGCAGAAGCTCCACATCAAATCTGCTCTGCAGGTGCTCCTCGTAGAAACTCTGAGTCCGGTGCTCTCTGCGCATTTTGGACGAGAGATACACCACGGCCCCGTTTTTGCACAAATGAGCCAGCGTCTCCATCAGCAGAGGGTATGTCTCTGGCAGGTAGACGATGTCCGCACAGAGCACCAGATCCCAGTCGGAGGGGAAGGCGAGGTGGTCCTCCCCCCAGCACAGAGGGAGGACAGCGGGAGGGGCAGAAGGCCAGCCGGAAGGGGGAACGTTGGCAGAGACGTTCACCCGAAGCTGTGGCAGAGCCAGAGGGAGGTCTGTGACGGTCACCTCTGCACCTGGAAGACAACACAGCGTCATGTGACGCAGGTGAAAACTCAAAATCGGATGAGTCTGAAGACATCCAGAAAGTCTCAGAACTTGTCCTGATTGCTGTTTAGGTTGTGAAACATAAGAAATGCTTAAGTTATAACAGACTGATGAGTAATGAAGCAAATAAAAATGAATGTGAAGAGATTTTTCTGCAATATGTTGGACATGAGATTTTAACATAGCAGATCACCAAGGCAAGTTACACTGAAATCAAAGGATAGCTGAAGATTTAATATGAAGTTGATTGTAGTGACCGTGGAGGTGAGATGTGAAACAGATCTGCAGATTTGTTTGTTGATTTTCTTGATCTGTGTCCCTGTTCAGAGCTCGGGACTTTGTTTATTTTTTTTTTTTTTTTACGAGACGTAAAGAATCTTAGGTTTACCTAAATAAGTCTCTGTGTTTCTAATCTTTAAGTTGTAACAGGCCGTTTTACAACATTTTGAGACATGCTGCTTTTTAAACTCTGTGAAAGTTTATAAGTAATGCTGGGACATAATACCCTCATCCTGATTTATGCTGTTAGAACCAGTAAAAAGTTCTTACAGGTTTAACCATAAACTACCGTTTAAATATTGTCTTTTGCGCTACCTTTCGGTTTTTAAACACAGGTGGACTGTACTTTTTATTTGTTCTTACTTTCATTTTTAATAAAATCTCATTTGATGCTTTTTTTTTCAATAATAAAAAAAAAAGATTTATGCATTTTTGTCCCTAAATAGTTTGGTATTCAAAAGCTTTTTTGTTTTATGAGTGTTTGTGTGTCTATTTTGAGGTGCACAATAAAACAAATGAAATTAATCACTGTAGCATCAATGAGTGAAATATCAATGCAAAGCACCGCTGAGGTAAAACATTTTGTATTCCCGTTATATTTCTAAAGCCATTCATTAAAACTCTGCTTGCCAATCATATATTTGCAAAAAGAAAAAAGAAAAGACAGAAGTAGCAAGCAAGCTTCTTAATCACAATTGATACTGTTATTGCAGTATTCAGCAAAAACATTTCATATTTTCCTAAAATCATGCAGCCATCTTTTATATGCATGAAAGCCGCTTTGTTGGACTTCACTGTAATACACTGCCACCTAGTGGGCAGTCAGTAAAAGTTCTCTAAAGAGATTCAAATCCACTTGGCCTGAGTCATGAATTGACTGGTGAACTCATGAATGAATGACTGCAGTAATACCTTGAGGAATTAATTAATGAATGGAAACGATGAATGCATGAATGAAATATAATGAATGAATGGACTGATGAATAAATAAACGAATATATGCATCGACTCCAGGATGGATTAATTAATAAAATGAATGAGTACATAAAGCACTTTGTCTGAATGAATGAATGAATGAATGAATGAATTAGTAAATACACTGATGAATGAATGAATGAATTCTAACCTACCCAGACGAGCAGCCAAAATACCGACCACCCCGGTTCCTGCTCCCAGCTCTATGACGCGCCTTCCTCTGAGCTCCACGGACTGATCCTCAAAGTAGCGGCATAAATGCAGCGCCTGTGGACCCAGTCACGCAGTTACCACACAACTTCTCTAACCCACGCATCGCAGAAAGCTTTGACTTAGTGACATCCGCTCTTACAGCTTCCCAGACAGGAGCAGCCACGCCGAGGTTGGCCCCGAAAAGCTGCTTTATGCGGAGTTCTTCGCCCATCAGGATGTACACAGTCTCCTGTGAATACGTCTCAGTGGACAGGCAGTCATCGTCGACAGGGAACGGGTCGTCTTCATCCTCAGCACAAATCATGATTTATGATTAATAAACTGCGATTTTCGCGATTCAAAAGCTGCCATTTCCACTGTAGAAGACGAAAGTAGAAATCTTCCAGGTCAAATTAACTAGTACGGTTGTTTCCGAGGATCTCTCAAAAATTATTGTTCAAATTGAGAGTTTATTTATATTTTAAGTAAATGTTCAATTCATTACAATTCAATTTGCAAAATAAAAAAATAAAAAGTTAACTCACAAGGAGATGAAGCTTCAAGCATGTATTAGGACAACGCTCAGCTTTTACTTTGAAAGGAATTAAAGACCCTTTTAGTTTCCGGGTAAAAAAAGGGACAAAACACCAGTGTTTTGTCAGTATACGTTATCAGATCGCCATACGCATAAACTGACGGCTATATCTGACAGATATAGCTGTGATTACCATATGGTTTTATTTAATCAGCAACATGGCGCCATAACGGCTGAAGTTGGATCGTCATACACTTTGTTATAAGCAGCTGTATGACATCCTGACTTACCAGTTAACCAGTCAGACCATCATCAAGGAATCTGACACAACAGAAGGCTAACGTAAAGTATTACGTTCGACGTTATTACGTAACTGCCTATTTATGTTGCCTATTTATGACCACATCTGCCATAAATAGGCAGATGTTGTCCCTTCACATCTGCCTATTTATGGCGTATCGTTTAAAATCAGATTTGCCTTTGACCACGTCATGAACTATGACGTCTTGTCACCAAGCGACACGCAAAGGCCAAAGCCTTTAATTAATACGTCATAGTCACTGGCTTAATGTAACCAACTGTAGTTAGAATTTACTTCATTTCTGTTGGACACCACTCCCAGAAACCGTTAGCAACAATTTGCTGTCTTAGGACAAAAAAACAGCAGAAAAACAGGAGGCAAGTTAGAAAGACAGGATAGCTTTGATAGAAAATTCTGGATGATGGATACTGAAACTTCTCAGTCGGAAACATCAAGCTGCTCTAACATCACACGCTTTGATATTTTCATGGAAAACCAGCAGCTTTCTAGAATCGATTTTGACAATATCAGTGCAGAGCTCAACGCATTGCTCGATAGACTCAGAAGGGCTTATGAATCTGAAGAGAGTTTAGATAGAAGAGTTCACAAAATGACAGCTTCTCTCGAAACTCAGAGACTTGCCCAAAAACTGACTCGCAAGATCTACTTTCATCTAAGGTACCGTGATAAAAACGAGCTGCCTGTTTCTTCTGTTCCTTCTGACGTTAATCGTCTGCTTCCCTCTGGCAGCAGCTCTGATATGGCGAAAACAGATGAGGATCTGAAAAAGGTAAGCTCTTCAGAAAAACTGTACACAGTTGCGAGGAAAACGACTGAAAAATTTTTCAAGAGACTTTTTCAGAGGATGTTGAAGTCGCCAGACACTTTTGAAAACCAAGAACTAGACACTGCCTTCAAAGAATTACAAAATGAGGTTTCACATATTTCCATCCCTCCAGAGACCCAAAGCGTAGCATCTGTCACTGAAGATGACCAGTTAAAACAATCTCCTACAAGCTTGTTCAAGTCCTCCATGGAAGAACAAGATGCCACAAATGCGGCAGAACAACATCCTAGTCCAGTTACTTGTGGTGTGCCAGATACTTTTGAAAACCAAAAGGTGCGCACTCCCTTGGAAGAATTACAAGATGAGGTTTCAAATATTTTCATCACTCCAGAGAACCAAAACTTAGAATCAACTGACATTGAAGAAGGCCAGTTAAAATCATCTCTCCCACAACAGATGAAGTCCTTAATGGAAAATGCGGCAGGACAACATCCTAATCCAGTAACTTTTAATGTGGCAGACATTTTTGAAAACCAAGATGTGTATGCTATCCTCAAAATATTACAAAGTGAGTTTTCAGATACTTCCATCTCTCCAGAGACCCAAAGCTCAGAATCAGCTGTCATTGACAATGACCGGATAAAATCATTTCCTCAGAAAGTGGCTAACTCCTTAACGGAAAATGTGGCAGGACAACATCCTAATCAAGTAATTTGTAATGCGGCAGACACTTTTGAAAACCAAGATGTGCGTGCTGTCCTCAAAAAATTACAAAGTGAGTTTTCAGATACTTCCAACTCTCCTGACAGTCACAGCTCAGAATCAACTTTCATTGACGATGGACAGTTAAACTCATTTCCCCAAAAACTGATTAAGTCCTTTGTGGAAAATATGTCAGGACAAAGTCCTGATCCAGTAACTTGTAGTGTGTCAAACACTTTTCAAAACCAAGGGGTGTGCACTGCATTTAAAGAATTACAAAACGAGATTTCAAATATTTCCATCCCTACAGACACCCAAAGCTCAGAATCAACAGACATTGACGATGGCCAGTTAAAATCATTTCCTCAGAAACTGATTAAGTCCTTAATG